AGATCTCTACTTCCCCACACTAAGGCTTTTGTTCTCACTCACTTTTCCTGGCCAGACAGTCCTCCAGGCCCTTTGCAACGAACCCACTCAATCTTTGAAAATGGCACCTGCTCTCTCTGGTTTTCTTTTCCTTCTTTACCATCTTTCAGCAAGGTTTCCACCCGTGGTCTGTTACAGTCTGGCCTGGACCACAGCTGGAAGGGTCAGGGGCAAAGAAGTCAGCACTTCAGGTGAGTGGCTCTGGGTCAGGGACCTGACTCAGGGCCCAGGAAGCTGACCCCTTTCCAAAATGCCCTCTTAGTCCCTCTGCACCAAACCAAACGGGGGGCAAAGGGAGGAGGGAAAGAAATACCTAAAAAACAAACAAACCCAGACAACACAACCCCATCACCCAAAATACTGAAATGGAAAACCAACTCTTTCTCTGGAGACTTGGTCTGAAACATACTGAGCTGACACTGGGTAGGGTTGCCAGGAAAGGTGTTAATCTGGACAAGTATGGGACCCTGCAGAGGAAAAGGCTCACATTTTCCAAATGAACCTGTGGGCAGATAACGGTCACAAACAAACCATGGGCTAGTGTTGCCTAAATCTTGGGAGCAGAGCTAGGAATTGTGACATGACTCCCTCTCTCCAGCACCCCACTCACTCTGAAAAGCACTTGTGACTTCTGGCCAGTCCTTATGGTCTCCGGCCTCAGGGAGCTGCTTCTAGGACTATGAGCAGGTAACTGCCCATCTTGAAACTCACACCCCCACTCCTGCTTGAGAAAAAAAGTATGCTTGCCCTAGTTCAGTGGTCGGCAAACTCATTAGTCAACAGAGCCAAATATCAACAGTACAACAATTGAAATTCCTTTTGAGAGCCAAAATTTTTAAAACTTAAACTATATAGGTAGGTACATTGTTATTAAGTTAATTAGGGTACTCCTAAGCTGGACTTTGCTAAAAACTCAAGAGGCCAAAGAGCCGTATGTGGCTCGCAAGCTGCAGTTTGCCGACCACTGCCCTAGATGGTTTGGCTCAGTGGATAGAGTGTCGGCCTGGGGACTGAAGGGTCCAGGGTTCAATTCCAGTCCGGGTTATGGGCTCGGTCCCCAGTAGGGGGCGTGCAGGAGGCAGCCAATCAACGATTCTCTCTCATCATTGATGTTTCTATCCCACTCTTCCTCTCTGAAATTAATAAAAGTATATTAAAAAAAGAAAAGCTGACTTTACTTATATAAAATAAAAGTATGCTTACTCTTGAAAGAGTAGAGTGAGACAGAGGAGTAGATCCAGGTAGGGCTGTTTTCAGGGAGAAATGGGGATCAAACCTGGGAGCACCCAAGTATCAGTATCAGGAGAATCCCCTCCCACCAGCATTTTGCAGATGCAGAAGCTCATGATGTCCCTCCCTCCACTGCCTAGAGCTTCAGGAGCAGCTTCAGGAGGCTCAAGGGGATGCAGAGAAGCCGGATGCCTCAGAGCATCCCCAGGCTGATGCAGGAGACACGTCCCATGTTGCTGAGATTCTGGATTTTTGTTTTGATGCTGTTTTAGAGGAAAGCTTAAGGTAATGCTTCACCAACGTTTAACATGCACAGGAGCCTGGCTGGCATGGTTCAGTGGTCGAGCGTTGACCTACAAACCAAGAGGTCACAGTTTGATTCCCCATCAGGGCGCATGCTCCAGTTGCAGGGCTTGATCCCCAGCGGGGGACGTGCAGGAGACAGCCAATCAATGATTCTCTGTCATCATTGACATCTCTATTTCTTTTTCCCTCTTCCTTCCTCTTTGAAATCAATAAAAAGAACTTATATATATATATATATATATATATATATATATATATATATATATATATATAGAGAGAGAGAGAGAGAGAGAGAGAGAGAGAGAGAGAGAGGGGGGGGGGGGAGGAATTTTTTTAAACATGCACAGAAATTACCTGGGTGATAATCTGTTACAAGGCAGGTTCAGATTCATTCAGTCTGAGAGGACCCTGAGATTCTACATTTCAAACAACACCCCCTCTCCCCCCATGAGGTTACTCTGAGCGAGCACCTAAGGATATGGTAGATTGGGGCAAATCAGAGCCAGAGACAGCCAAGACACACAGGGATTGATGACCGATACCCAGAAGAGAGACAGAAAACAGGAGACAAATAATGGCGCATACACGTAGAATCAGAGGCTGAGGTGGGAACAGAGAAAGAGATGAAAAGAGAGACAGAGAAGGGAACAGTCAGAGAAACAGAGAGGGCAAAAGCAGAGAGAACCAGACCAGAGATGGAAGACCGATAGGGCTAGAGAGACTCACAAAAACAGAGCCAGCGTCAGGGAAAGAAGGCAAGGCGAGGAGCTGGGGGAGAGGCCATCGGTGGCCATGGGCAGCCCGTGACCACCCAGGCTCCTGACCAGCAGTGAAGGGCTCACAGGTATGGGAGGGATGATCCCACAGAGTTTCAGGTGTGTAGACCTGAGATGCCAACCTTCCAAACCTCTCACATGGATGCGCACTCTCCTGGCTCCTATAGAGCTGTCCCTCCCTCGCCCGGAGCCTTCCACTACCCGTTTCCCTGGTCTTTCCTGTGTATTTATTCTTTCTCTTAACTGGATCCTTTCCAGAGGTTTTAAACATGTTTAAGTCTTTCCCACCTAAAAACAAAACAACAAAACTCTCTCATGATCTCGGGTCTCTTTCTAGTCCCTGTCTTATTTCTCTCCTTTTCTAGCTAAACTCCCTGAAGGAGTTGTTTGTACCGATTTTGGCCTCTTGTGAAGGTCCCTCCTGATACACATGCTGTCAGCCCAACGGTCAATTTCCAGTCCTCATTTCCTTGGTATCTTAGCAGCCTTTGGGCTTCTTGATCTGCCTGCCTGCTTGCTGGCTTCCAGAACATGATCTTCCCCTGGTTTCCCCATTGCCTGCTCCTCTGACTCTTCCCCACAAGTCTCCATTATCTGATCTGCGTACTTGAGGACCTGAGCTCTCTCATCGCCAGGTACTATTCCAGACCCTAAGCTGCTTCTCTCCAGTCTGTTTTCTGCATGATCTTGGCAAAATACAAATCTCATTATGTTGGCCTGAAATTTAAAAAACCCTTCAGCCGAAACCGGTTTGGCTCAGTGGATAGAGCGTCGGTCTGTGGACTAAAAGGTCCCAGGTTCGATTCCGGTCAAGGGCATGTACCTTGGTTGCGGGCACATCCCTGGTAAGGGGTGTGCAAGAGGCAGTTGGTCGATGTTTCTCTTTCATCGATGTTTCTAGCTCTCTATTCCTCTCACTTCCTCTCTGTAAAAAATCAATAAAATATATTAAAATAATAATAATGAAAAAACCCACCCTTCAGCAATTCCCCCTGGCTCTGAGAATAAAGATCCAACTCCAGGTGACCTTTCTGCCCCGCCCCCCCACCCCGCCCCCAGATGACCTTTCTGAGATGACCTCACTTCACTTGCCCTCTAGGCCTTCTAGCTATATTGCCTTGAACACCCAAGCTCCATTTTAGTGCAGTGCCCTCTCTATAGAACTGTGCTGTCCAACACAGAAACCACTAGCTGCATGTGTCTAGTGAGCACTTGAAACGTGGCTTGTGCAAATGAAAAACTGAATGCATTAAATTGAAAAAACATTAAATATTGGCAGACAACTGTTCTTGAAACAACGTGTATGAATTGACTTTTCAGTGTTAATTTTTATGATATCTAAATCTAGCTAAATTATTTCTGGTGAAAATTCAGTGTAAAAAAAAATTTGTGTCAAAGACTCAGTTAGAAAAAAAATGTAAAAGATCTCATTAAAAGTTTTTTGTATTGGTTACATGTTAAAAAGATAATATTTTGCCTATATTTCATTGAATAAAAGATATCATCAAAATTAATCTCACCTGTTTCTTCTTCCTCTTTAAATTTGGCTACTAGAAAAATGTAAATTACATAATTGGCTCATATTATATTTCTCTTGGACGGCACTGGCCTAGAATGCCATTTCTTCTCTTTGTCTTAATACCTTCTACTTGTCCTCCAATATCACCTCCTCTGAAAAACTTTCCTGAGATCAAGTCTTTCATATTTACTCACCTTCAAAGCTATGTGTATGTGCCTGTGGTTGCCTCCCCCTCTCTCTGCCCCATTGTAATTATACATTTATTCAAATAATTACTTGATTCACCTCTGTCATCCCCGCCAACCTCTAAGCTCCATAAGAGCAAGGGCCATGTCTGGTTCCCCTCCTGGAAGCCAACACTTAGTCCAGAGCCTGGGGCATGAGTAGCCACCAGTGGACCCTTCCAAATGCGGCAAGATGTCTTCCACTGCTGACCTTCCTGTGGGCCCACGGTCTCCAACCATCTCAGAGAGCCTGAGCACCCCTTCCCTCGGAGCGCCACTATGGCCCTTCGAAACGGAGACGGCACTCTCCCAGACGGAAAGTCCTCCTCTATTGCTGACCAGAATCCCACCATCCTTAGAGGTAATTAGAGCGCCTCACATTTGACTCTGACGACAGTCACCTGGAGCCCTGTTAAAATGCACATGCTGCCGAAACCGGTTTGGCTCAGTGGATAGAGCACTGGCCTGTGGACTGAAAGGTCCGAGGTTCAATTCCGGTCAAGGGCATGTACCTTAATTGTGGGTACATCCCCTGTAGGAGGTATGCAAGAGGCAGCTGATCGATGACTCTCTCTCACTGATGTTTCTAACTCTCTTTTCCTCTCTGTAAAAAATCAATAAAATATATATATATTTTAAAAATAGCCGAAACCGGTTTGGCTCAATGGATAGAGCGTCTGCCTGCAGACTGAAGGGTCCCGGGTTCGATTCCAGTCAAGGGCATGTACCTTAGTTGCAGGCACATACCCAGTGGGGGGGGGGGGGTGTAGGAGGCAGCTGGTCGATGTTTCTCTCTCATCGACGTTTCTAGCTTTCTATCCCTCTTCCTTCCTCTCTGTAAAAATCAATAAAATATATATTTTTAAAAAATAAATAAAATAAAGAATAAATAAAATGCACACGCTGGCTCATCGGGTCTGGGATGGGACCCGAGAGTCCCGTTTCTAACAAGCTGCCCAGTGATGCCCTCAATGCTGGTCCGCAGACCACACTCCGGGTAACAAGGCTAGAGAAGCTGGCTCCATCGTGACTATCCTCAAGTTTTCTTCCTGCTCTGTCCAGGGGGCCAGCAGGGATCTTTTAAAACTCAGCTCTGACTCTTCCTGCTCCCAGACGTGCCCCACCAAAACCCGTACCCTGAAAAAGAACGTGGTGCCCAGGGCCACGGTGGTCATTTCGTCTTTGTTTTTAATTAGAAATAAACCTTCGAGCAGTTTTCAAAGTCGGGGCAGCCCTGATGTGGATCTCGGATGGGAAACAACGATCAGGTCACACAGCTGGACATGCAGAACAGTCCTCACGCTGTGGCTCCGGTCTGCCGCACGGGCTGGTCCTGCCGGCTCCTCCAGAAGGCTCCCCTCGGCGAAGGTCGGGCCTGGGCACCGGGAAATGTTCTCTCTGTGTCCGCAGGGAGCACGCAAACCAAGTACGTGCTGCCAGGGGCCCCTCCTGGCAGAGATGACCTGTCCAGCTCCCTGTCCTGTCCATATCATGAGGTCCAAGGGATAGAAGTGTCTCCGGTAGCCTCGAGTGTTTATGGGTGTGTGTGTGTGTGCGCACACACGTTTGCATGTTTGTTGATTCCATGTTTGGACATGGGGGTCGCTGTGTGTGTGTGTGTGTGTGTGTCCATGTATGTGTGCAGAGTGTGTGTCCATGTTGCCCTCCAGAGCTCCAGTTCAGTAAAGCGTCCGTCCCTTTTTCCGCGCAGGCCTGGAGGCTGAAGAGGGTCCCTAGGTGGGCCCTGCAGATGTGAGCGGCCCCTCTGTCCCCTGCTGCTGCTGCTGCTGCTGCTGCTGCCGCTGGCCCTTGCGTCTCCGAGAGCCGGTGCCTGCCTCCTTGCTCTCCTTCCTGCTCGGATTCCTGTTGGCCTTTTCCCTCCGGCCCTGGCCTCCCTTCTTCCTCTTCTGCCCTGCAACCCAACAGCAGGAAGACTCAACACGGGTCATTGTGCACCGCAGAGAGGCCCCGGGCATGGCCATGGGCCCAGGAGGGGAGCGGTGAGGAAGCTGGGCAGGGGCGGCAGGGAGGAGGCTGGGAGCGCTGCCTTTAGGTGGTCAGGCGCCCTTAAGGCCTTCTCTGACCATCAGCCACGTCAGAGGAGAGCTGGCAGGAGGGGATGGGGAGGGAGCCAGGGCATGGGCACTGAGAGGGGTCCTAAGAGCCTTTCATCCTCCACCCCTGGGTAAACCACACCCCCCCCCCCCCTCCTGTCTTCCTCAGACCTGGGATCCCAAAGGGCTAAGAGGGTCAGTGCAGCTTTTAGGACTAAAGGGTGGCCCCACCTTCTCTAGGGTCAGCCACCACATCACTGCCAAAGGCAGGCTCAGTGACCTTGATCGAATCACTAGCCCCCTCCACCACCATCCCCAGGCCGGTCTGGCTCAGTGATTGAAGGCCAACCTATGAACCAGGAGGCCAAGGTTTGATTCCCGGTCAGGGCACATGCCCAGGTTGTGGACTCAATCCACAGTGTGGGGGGTGCAGGAGCAGCCGATCAGTGACTCTCTCTCATCATTGACGTTTCTGTCTCTCACTCCCTCTCCCTTCCTCTGTGAAATCAATAAAAACATGTTAAAAAATGTTTTTAACCACTACACCCCCTTCCATGCTCCATCTGACCTCACAGGGCCCTCCCAGCGCCCACAGCAGAAGCAATGGAGACACCAAAAGGATCTCCACACATAAGTGCCCTCCAGCTCCCACCACACAAAGTACTGGGTCTCTGCCAGGCCTGGCACCGGTGGGCACGGCACGGGGTCTTGATTTGGGGACGCCCCATCTGGCCTGGCCTGAAACCCTCTCCTGGGCAACCGGCAGGAAGCAGAGGGGGTCCCATCTCTGTGGTTGGGCCTGGCCCCCGGCTCCGGGGAGGCGCAGGCTGCAGCTCACCCTCAGGACAGGGCGTCCTCCGCACCGTGCACCTCCGGATCTCTCTGGTGTCGGAGCAGACGGCGTGGTCCCCCCCAGGCGCGTGGAGCACCCTCCGCGTCCGCTCCTCCGAACCCCTCCGGAAGCCACAGAGCTTCTTCCTCTTGGCGCATGGCCCCCACGGGGACCATTCGCCCATTTCACATTGTGCTGGTGGGAAGGGAGAGGAGACAGCGAAAGAAGAGGGGGGGGCGTGTCACAGAATGCCCCGGGGAGCTTTGCCCACCTGCTCTCTACCTGGGGCTCAGGCGCAGAGGGCAAGAGAGTCCCGATACAAACCCCAGAGGGTGGTCTGGGGTGAGCTTTCTCTGGACGGTGCCCCAGCCACTCTCTCCCTGGCCCACCCTCCTCCTCCGGGGTTCCCCGGATCCTCTGCCCACGGTGCCCACACACCGTACCAGGACTGCTGCACTCCATTGTGCCGTTGGCAGCTGCGGAGCCCTCGGGGCAGGCTGGGTAGCAGCGGCCCTTGTGCAGGTACCAGCTCTCCTTGCACTTGGTGCAGAAGTTGTGGCTGAAGCAGGCCTCGCAGTGCTCAATCTTGCATTCTGAGGAGAGGACCAGAGTGGGGGCCCTCTGGCTCGGCCTCCCCTCATCCCCATCCCAGCACCCACGGCGCCGGCCCACCCACACTGAGCGCAGGACGGGGTCCAGAGCGGTGATCACTGCAGAGAGGTGCGTGGGGACAGGACAGGGTGGAGGGAGAAAGGGCCACAGTGGTCACTTTGGGCTGGCTGGACCTCACCAGGGTCAGCTCATCTCAACCCACACTCAATTCCAGGCCCTGGAACTTAAGGTGAGGTGTGAGACAGCCAGTTTCTGGGTGGGGGGAGAGGGGCAGGACCCCCGGGGATGAGTGGGGGGAAGAGAGGAGGATCGCAGCATCTCATGAAACCCCAAGGGCCACCTCGTCAGAACTGGACTGAAGGATACTGTGACCCTCTCTCCCCCCACTGCTGAGCATCCACAGACCCAAACCCTGGATCTCCTCCTGCCTGGGGCAGAAAGAATGGGTTTGGAGGAGGGAAGCCATCCCAGGGCAAATTCCTCTCCCTCTACAAGGCGAGTTCCAGGAACCGCCTTGGTTGGACTCCTGGGTCCCTCCCCATCCCCTCCTGCCAGCTCTCCCTCCTCTGGGGGAGGAGGAGGGAGGGTGGGTTCAGGGCTGAAGGAGCAGGAAGGGTCTTTCACAATCTCTCCCTTCCCAGATTGTGGGCAGGGCGAACTTCCTCCTGGTTGGTCGCTGGCACCTGGAGCCTGGGCTGCCAGTTTCCCCAGGAGCTGGCACAGCCAGGAACTCTCCACCCCAAATATGGGGAAGAGCCGGAGAGGGCAGCTCCAGGGTCCTACCTCCAACCTCACACGCTCCCCACGCCCACCGCACCCTCCTCTGTGCCTCTGTGGCTTTATCTCCGCTCCCCTCCCTCCCTCCTCCTCTCGCGCTCCGATGCCTGGGTTTGGCTGCAGGTGGAACACAGGAAGAACAATAACAGCTACCATTTATTGAATGCCTCCCACAACAACCCCAGAGGAAAAAATGAGTACTCCCATTTAAAATAGGAGATCTTGGAGAGGTGACGACACGCCAAAGTCACACCATGAACTAGTCGCAGGGTTGATGTGGGGTCAGTCCAGCCTCGCTGTTACCAGCTATAAAAAGGTACCATCACTTAGATCTTGTCTCCCTCCAGGGGGTGTTTCGGACTCAGCTGATATAAGATCCAGAAACACATTCTAAGCTCCCAGGCACCGAGCACACGGGAGGGGCACTGGTTTTGTTCACTGGAGTGTGTTCACCGCATATGCCCGGCATGTCACAGCCAAGATGGATAGGCGTGACAGTAGGTGCCTGGGAGCTGTGGCTGGTGTGGGAGAAAGCTGAAGAGTGAGGAGACCAGGGGGAGAAGGAGGCGGAAGCAGGCTGACCGGGGTGTGAATGTCTCCGCAGTCAGCAGAGCGAGTGGCGGGTTTTTTTGTTGTTGTTGTTGTTTTTGTTTTTAATATATTTTATTGATTTTTCACAGAGAGGAAGAGAGAGGGACAGAGAGCTAGAAACATCGATGAGAGAGAACATCAATCAGCTGCCTCCTGCACACCCTCCACCGGGGATGTGCCCGCAACCAAGGTACATGCCCTTGCCCGGAATCGAACCCGGGTCCCTTTAAGTCCGCAGGCCGACGCTCTATCCACTGAGCCAAACCGGTCCCGGCAGAGCCAGTGGTGGTTTTTAAGCAGCAGTGTGATGGCATAGGCCAGGTGTCTTCAAACTACGGCCCGCAGGCCACATGCGGCCCGCAGAGGAGTCTGATCCGGCCCGCCAGGTTTTTTGAGCAGTGAGCGCAGCCGAGGTGTTACAGTAGGAATTAGTAGTTCATATAGTCCGGCCCTCCAGCTCTCTGAGGGACCGTGATCTGGCCCCCACTTTAAAAAGTTTGAGGACGCCTGGTAGGCTGTGTGTATCTCAGAGGCATCTCTCTGGCTGCAGTGCGGAGGCAGGTGGAAGGAAACCAGATGGGAGTTGGAGGACAGATCAACAGGCTATTGCAGTAGTTCAGGGGAGAGATGACGGGGGCCTGGGTGAGACAATGGCAGTGAGGACAAAAAGGAGATGGAGCCCAGCTCAGTGACTGAGCATCATCCCATGTACCAAGAGGTCTCTGGTTCAATTCCTGGTCAAGGCACATGCTCGAGTTGCGGGCTCGATCCCCAGCAGGGGGCATGCAGGAGGGAGCCAATTGACGTTGATGCTCTGATGTTTCTATTTCTCCCTCTCCCATCCTTTCTCCCTAAAATCAATAAACACACACACACACACATACACACACACACACACACACACGCATACACACACACACGCATACACACATGAAAAAATATGGAGCATGCATGACTCAGTTATTGGATGGATGGGGAATAGCCTACATGAGAAGTTGGCTCTTAGGTCTATGGCTTGGGGGATGGCTTGGGACCCAGAGTGGCCTGTGGGAATACAGGTGGGTGCAGGTTCAGGTGGAGGAGATGCAGTTCTGATACAGACACACCGAGTTGGAAATGGGGAAGGACTATCGGGGGAGATGTCTGACCGTTAACCAGATACTTGAATCAGAGCCTCCTCTTCCTTCATCTCAGAATCCCCCCTCCTTCTCTTGCCGGCCACCAACAGTTCAGAGTACCCTCCCCCAGGGACTGGCGTCCCTGTGCCCTCCTCCCGCCCTGCCCACACTCACTGATGCACTTGTTCATGTCAGGGTTGCGGGCATCGAAGTATCCGGGCGGGCAGGATGGCAGGCAGACGCCCACCTGGCGGATGTCGTTCCTCTCCAGCAGGATGAACAGCTTGGGCGAGCACTTGAGGCAGCCGTTGACCTCGGAGCAGAGCTCGCAGCCTTTGGCGCAGGCCTGGCTCCCCTCGGCACTGACTGCAAAGGCGGAACAAGGGTGAGAAGGTGGCCGTAGGGGAGCGCTCCATCTTTCCTGGGCTCCCACGAGGATGGGAAGCGAGCTGATTGGACTTTTCTCCTACAGAAACACGGTGTTTCTCAGAAAGCACAGGCCAGGCTGGCAGCTCTCTGAATGACTGCTTTCTGAACCTCCCCCGGGATCCTCTCTCCAGGGCACGAGAACAGACTCCTGGAGCATGAGCTCCCGTCCATTCCAGATGCCTCCGTAGCTCCAGGCGCAGCACGAGCTCACCCACCGGGCTCGCTTCACCATCCCCAGAGAAGCTGCTGGAGCTGCATCCTTCCTGGAACATACCCTTAGCCTCTCCAGAGGAAGGAGGCTTCTTATCCTTGAGAAAGTTTTAAGGACAAGAAGGATAATGGGTTAAACTATCTGAGAACAACACCACCTGCCCAGAGACAAGAAGACAACTCGAATAACCTATGTCTGGAACAGTAGTTTCAACCAGACGCAATATTGCTCTCCAGGGGACATTTGGCAATGTCTAGAGACTTTTTCCCCCACAAAAAAAAAAAAGAAAAAAAAAGGGAAAAAAAGTTTTTATTGATTTTAGAGAGAGAGGAAGGGAGAGGGATAGAGAGATACAAACATGGATGAGAGCCAAACATCGATCAGCTGCCTCCTGCATGCTCTGTACTAGGGAGCAAGCCTACAACCCGGGCATGCACCCAAACAGGGAATCAAACCAGGGACCTATTGATTCATGAGTCGATGCTCAACCTCTGAGCCACACTGGCTGGGCTAGAGACATTTGTTATGGTTACAATGGAGAGGGGGGTACTACAGGCATCTAAGGGAGGCCAGAGATGCCCGTCAACAGCCCACAGTGCAGGAGGCAGCCCCCACAACAAATTATCTGGTTCAAACTGTCAGTGGTGTTGCGGTTGAGCAACCCTGGCTTAGAACCACCCTTTGAGGCAGTGTGATCTCCAGCCCCGCATACCTTTGATCTTGTTTCCTCATCCATTTGTTCAACCAACACTTCCTAAGCCTCTCCCAGGTGCCAAATGCAGTGTGAGGGCTGGGGATGTGGAGGCAAAGACACCTAGCCACTGTGTCCTGATCCTCCAGTGGCCCAGACAGACCCACAAACAGGCAAATGCTGTCAGCCACCAGACCAAGCAACAGTGGATCCAGAAAGAGAGAGAGAAGGAGTAGCATAGGGAGTGCCACTGGGCCAACTCTTGAAGAATGAGTGCATTTGTCCATGAGGAAGCAGAGGCAAGGGCCTTTTAGGAGATATAAAACAACCCAAGGGAAATAGCAGATAATTTGGGTGCAGGAGGGATGGCGGAGGGGAGTGGAGAAAGATAAGGAGTCCTATCTTAAAAGGACTTTTAAATCATTCTAAGGAACTTGCACTTGATTCTGCCAGGCAGTGTTTCCCAAAGAGTATTCTTGCAACACGATTCCTCTAAATCAGTGGTTCCCAATCTCTTTTGGCCATGCCCCTCCTGAGCATCTCTAAAATCCTGATGCCCCCCGCCCCGAGACATATAATTCTTATTGTCCAAAAAGTGGACTCCTATTCATGTGGAGGAAGCCTAAAAGACCATTCACTTTATCCAAACCAGCTTCCAAAGAACATGGCACCCATAAAAGAGAAAAAGAAAAGAACAAAATGACAGTTGAACTACTGAGGAAGAAATTGTTCAAAATAATAGTAATAGCCGGGACCGGTTTGGCTCAGTGTATAGAGCGTCAGCCTGTGGACTGAAAGGTCCCGGGTTCGATTCCGGGCAAGGGCATGTACCTTGGTTGCAGGCACATCCCCAGTGGGGGGTATGCAAGAGGCAGCTGATCGATGATTCTCTCTCATCGATGTTTCTAACTCTCTATCCCTCTCTCTTCCTCTCTGTGAAAAATCAATAAAATATATTTTAAAAAAAATAAATAATAGTAATAGCCGAAACTGGTTTAGCTCAGTGGAGAGAGAGTCGGCCTGTGGACTAAAGGGTCCCAGGTTCGATTCCGGTCAAGGGCATGTACCTTGGTTGCGGGCACATTCCTGGTAGAGGGTATGCAAGAGGCAGCTGGTCGATGTTTCTCTCTCATCGACGTTTCTAGCTCTCTATCCCTCTTCCTTCCTCTATAAAAAAAATCAATAAAATATATTAAAAAATAGTAATAACATGAAGTCATATGAAAAAGTAGGAAATAAAGTTTCAAAACATATAATAGAGAACTGAAATGCATAAATATGTCACAATATATATTTATTTAGTGTATTTGAGGCCCCTAGAACCATAAGAAATGCAAAAAAATTCACTGTTAATAACTCATTCTCAAATTCCCGCCCTTAAAAGTCAAACTACCCCCCTGTGGGGGAGGGGGTGCCCCATGCTGGAAACCACCGCCTTCAATGATCACAGGGGGCCATGTATCAGGTAAGACTGAGAACCGCTGAGTCCAACACTCTACACAAGATTCTTTTCCTTTTTTTAATTATCACTTCTCTTTATTATTATTTTTTTTTAAAATACAACATTATTGATGTCATAGAGGAAGGGAAAGGAATAAAGAGATAGAAACATCAACGTTGAGAGAAAATCATTGATCGGCTGCCTCCTACACACCCCCAGTTGGGGATTGAGCCTGCAACCCAGTCATGTGTCCCTGACCAGAATCAAATCTGGGACCATTCAGTCTGCAGGCCACTGCTCTATCCACTGAGCCAAACCAGCTAGGGCTAAACAAGACTCTTTATTGTAGGGCTTCTTGCACCCTCTGTGATGCTCCTGAGTCAAGTGCCATTCCAAGATAAGGACAGAGAGAGCTGCATTTTCCAAACAATTTGGCCACAGAATCCTGTTTTGCAGAGTTTTTCTTGGGACCTTTCTCAGAGCTGATAAGACAACAGAGAGCCATTGGCCTGTTTTAAACAGGAGCAAGACCTGCTCTTATTGACGTGGTGGAAAGGTTTCCTTGGAGCCTGGGAAGAGACCAGAGACTGAAGGGCCATTTGGAAAGAAGCTGACCAGGTCATCCAGGTGAGAAAGATGAGTCTTAAAACAAAATTTAGTTCAGAAATGCTTAGGGAATACAATCAGTAGGCCCTGGGGACCAACAACAACAGGAGGAAAAGGAGGAGGAGGAGGAGGAGGAGGAGGAGGAGTCGTCATCGTCTGGGATGCAGCCCAGTATTCAGGCCTAAGGTATAGGTGAATGGTGGGGCCAGTCACTAAAAGAGGATCATAGGAAGAGAAGCAAGTTGAGAAGGAAGGAAAGTAGGTATGAGTCACTTAGGAGCCAGGCATCGCAACGTTGTAGAGACCGGCTGTAGACAGAGAGCTGGGGCATCAGAACAGAGATGTAGGAGATAGTGCAGGATGCGGAACTCAGGCTGCAGTGGGCAGGACCTGGAGCCAATCGCCAGCCTGTGACCCAGGGTGAAGCACTGCAGCTAGTGAGCTTCTCTTTCCCACTCCTGGAAAAGGAAGACGTGGCAGCCCACTCAGGAGGGCTGTTGGGAGGGGCACCTGCTCCATGCATGATCCTCGATTTCACAACAGGAGAAGGGGTGAGACTTAGGAAGGTGAGCAGAAGGGAAGAGGGGAATAACAAACACAATGATAATAATAACAACAAAACCATCATGATGGCAGCTTGTTAGTAAATGTTGAAACTGATTCTGTGGCGGGCGCTGCTCTCAGGCTTGACAAGTACTGGCTCATTTAGCCCTTACAACCCATGAAGTAGGTACTGCTATCTTCTTTTTAATCCTAATTTTTCCAGATGAGGAAACAGAGAAGCTAAATTACTTGAACAAGGCTTCATAGAGAGTGTGTGTTCGAGGCAGAGGATGCGGCAGGACATTACAAGGGGACGTGGACACTGAAAGTGTGATTAGACTGATTTTTAGGTTTATTTATACAGAGTTTATATTATTTCATTAATCAATAGAGTTAAACACTAATATTGTTCTTAGTTTAGTTATTATGAGAGCAAAAATACTCCAAATGTAGTGTTGGATTCATGAGAGAACCCTAGGGATTATTTTTCCACTTTGGGCCTTTGTTCAGCTATATTACAAATTAATTAAATCACTGGAGTAGTTAGATATCATTTCTCCTTCAAATATATTAAATCCTCCATTGCTCAAGGTTTTCACTTCATTCATTGTTGAAATTAATGTTCCCTCTAGGTTTTTGCCTTGGTTTCAGTAATTGAAGTCATTCAGGTGTTCCATTTAAAGCCTCAATAGCTATGTTCCCATGTTCACTTATTCTTTCTTATCACTTTTGTTAGAGACAGATTTGTATCAATAGAAGGCCTTCTCAGAATCCTGCTGCCTACCTCCCATTCAACCAACAACAAATCTCTGAGTGTGTTCCCCTTAAGACCCATGAATTATATGGCAAGAAAGAGTGGGGCACACATGGGGATCTGAAATTAGTTCAGCACGACTGGAACCTGGAGTGAGTGGTCAGACAGGAAGCTGGAGAGGGAAGCAGGGGCCAGATAAGGAAGGGTCTTAAGTAGAGAGGAGTTTGGACATTATCCTAAAGGCAGTGAGGATTCACTATGGGCTTTAAAATAGGAGACATGGTCTGGATTCCATATTAGAAAGATCACTCCATAGTGTGGAGAATGGGATTGTAAGGAGGGCATAATTGGAGGCAGGACTCCCAGGTTCAAAGACATGCAGCTGAACCAAGAGGATGGAAGACAGTAGACATGTGTAAGACATTCAGGTGGTAGAATCAGCAAGACGAGGTGATGTCGGGGAAAACACAAGTCAAGGGTGACTTAGAGGTGTCGGGCTTGGGTCACAGGGACCTTCGCGCTGAGAGGGACCAGAGGGGGAAGAGCAGGTTTGGGTGGGGAAACGATGAGTAGTTGAGTTTTAAATGTGTTGAGGTTGTTCCTGTGGGACACCCAGAGGAAGGTGTCGATTAGGCAGTTGAACCTGTGGGTCTGGAAGTCAAAAGAAACATCCTGGCTGGAGATTGAGACA